GCCTTTGCCTCCCCGCTGTCGGGTCGCGCCGGGAGCTGCGCGGTGAGCCGGGCCGGGCGGCGAGGGGGGGGGGGGGGGGCCGGCGAGGCTGCGGGGCCGGCTGCCCGCAGCACCCCTCCGGGCGAGGACCGGCGGCGGGGCATGGCGCTTTTCTGCAAGAGAAAAACGGGAACAAGGAGTTTACCGATGTGGGCTCTCCTGCAGGTCTCCGCCTCCCCCCAAATCGGTGGGGACCCATCTGTGCAGAAGGGCAGCGAGCACATTTGCTGCCGCAGCGTGGATCCGAAGGCAGCTCGTTACCGTCGGGAGTGCCATTTTCCTGCACACACGTACATAGATACACACACTTATGCACGAATCTTCCCTCCGCATCTCGGTCGCACTTTGCTGCGCGGGGAAGGGGCAGCGAGCGGAGAGCCCACGGCGGCTGCTCGACGTGGCTCTCACGGTGGGGTTTGCCGAGGGGAAAGGACTTAACGGAGAAGGGCGGAGGAGCCCCGCAGTCACCTGCGGCAGGTCACCGGGGACGTGCGGGCGAGGGGCGGCGGAGGCGGAGGGCGAGCGGACACCTACCTGCTCGGGAGGCGCCCGGCTGCGGGCACACGGCGGCCGGTCCCCGCCGGTCCCCGGGTCCCGCCGGTCTGTGCGGCCCGGCGCCGCGCCGAAAGGGGAGCGGGAGAAACTTCGCTGCCGATGGGGGAGCCGCTGGTAACAAGCTGGAAAACGGATCTGCTTTGGTTAGCAAGTCCCAGCGCAGGGAGCATTTGGCCACGATCATGATTTCCGTGACTTCTGTCAAATACAGTATTATCAGAGACTACTCAAGTACTTACTGTAAGTAGTGAGGGAAAGCACTACATACGGAGCGGAGCCTCCGGGCCGTGCCAAGGGTCTGTTAAAACAGATCCACTTTCTAACAGATCCCCCGCACAGGCCTCAGTCTCGGCGGGGGCGACCGTGCGCTCTGCCCTCGGCACCGGCGCTGCAGGAAGGGCAGCAGCTGAGAGCAGGTGAGGCCCTCGCCCCCCCCCCTTTCACCCTCCAGACTCGGGGACGGGGCTGGCCCTGGGTACTTGAGACCAGCCTGCAAGGACGGGGGGTGCACCAGCCGACGCTCCGCTGCCCCCAGGGGTGCCTCTCCCTGCACCGGAAAAATAACCGGGAGCGAATGCATGGCCCGAAGGAGCTGCGGATGGGGAAGGTTTGGGAGGAGACGAGCTGCAGGGCCGGGGAGCCACGCACGGGGGGCCCGACCGGACCCCCGGGCTGGGCTGCCCGCCGCGGCCCACGCCGGTGCCGGCAGAGCCGGCGCGATGTCGGGCCCATCTGCGCAAGGCGGGGGGAGCTCTCCGGAGGGAAGGGCGCAGTGTGCGGACGTGCAAACTAATCAGCTTCGAAACGGGGGAGGGAAGGGGAAGCTTCTTTTATAGGGGATGTGGGAAGGGACCTAACACAGTCCTGCTTGGGCGAAACGTTATACAAGATGCTTAAAAAGAAATAATTAAAAAAAACTAATTAAAAATATATAAATCACCCAACAGAAAGAAAGAAGTATGTGGAAGGAAACGTTTCTGGATGGAGACACTGTGTGTGGCATAAAAAGCGATTGAATACATAAGGGCTTCATTAAATTCCCAATAGATAACATTTGGCTAAATCTATCCCTAGATTAAAACTCTGCATAATAGCACCATAAACTAAAAAGTTTCTTTTTGTGTGGTCCTTCTGGAGGAACTGATTGAAACATTAGCCCCCTCATAGAGCAATCCCCTCCCAATTCAGCTCCAGTAATTCGTCTCTCAACCCTACGGGGATATGATGAGAAAAGGAGACGGGTTAATGAATCCACACTTTGTAGCTGGGAGGAGGAGAAGGAGGCGACACCATCCTGTTTGTCCCACCAGCTTGTTTTTTAGGGCCGAGCCTGTTTTGGAGGAATTGTTCGTCCGGGGTCCGTCCCTGCGAGAACTACACGTCCCCTCTGTTCGCCTTGAAAGCCGGGGGGGCACGGAGGGCCATTTGCATGCGAATGGGGCGCTGAGGCCCGGCGGAGCTGCGGGCCCGTCAAAGGGCTGCGGGGCCGCCGCCTTTTCTGGCGGCACCTGCTCCGGCGCAGCGGTGCGGGAAGCCGGGACCGCCGAGGCCGGGCGGCTACCCCGCGGACTCGGAGAAAGCAAGCGAAGGAGTCTTCCGCCAGCAGCACAGACCCCCTCCCCGACCCCTTTCCCCCGCCTTGAAAAAAAAAAAAAAAAAAAAAAAAGCAAGCTCCACCGCGTGTAGCGATTTGCTCCTCCTGCCGGCTTCCCTGCCAGCTCCCAGGTGAAGGCCCTGTCCGCGCAGGGTGCAGACGGCCGGCGTAAAGCGCGGAAGGAGCGAGTGCCCGGGCGGTTTCCTCGCCATGTGCCTCTGAGGACGGTTTTCCTCTGAGGGGACCCGAGGGAAGGGCGGCGGGCTGGCTCGCAGGGGAAGTCGCCCGGCTCCCCGGGTTTGCTGCGGAGAAGCCAAGAGAAACAAACACCGGGTCGCCGGCACCTGCTCGTCCCATCTCACTGGCCGGGGACAGCGCCAGGACGCGCTTGGCCCCTCGCCCCGGGCCGCCGCCCCAGCGGCCAGAGGCCGGACCGACCGCAAGCAGCCTCCCTCCTCGAGGAGCCCGGCACCGCCGCGCTCACGGCTACAGCCGCCTTCTCCCTCCTCGCAAAACCTTTCCCCGCTTGATTTTAGCCGCGGCTCCGAGGGGCCCCTAAGCCGGGCTCGGTACCCCGCGCTGGAGCGGCGCGGCGGCCCAGCGCATCTCCCCCGGCCGGGCCCGGGGAAAGCGAGTTAATCGGTCCCTCGTGAAAGGGATGCGCCTTGCCCGAAGGGTACGTACGCGGTGCCGCTGGGATCTTTTCCCTTTCTAAAAAGAAATTAAACGGGACTCTACTTCCTTGTCCTCTGAGGGACGCGGGACACGCAAAGAGGCCCTCCAGCTGCAGACTGCAACTGGAGCCCAGCAGAGATCTTGGGTCCAGTCTTTCCTCTGATTGAAAATCATTAATTTAACCCTGAATTGCTACAAACAAAACAGAAAAGCATCACTTTTCTATCCACGAGAATACTTAAAACCGAGGCGACGAGGTACTTCGATATGTAAAAGCATGTAACCACACGACTTTCCCCGTCTCACTCCAAAGAGCACTAAAAGGCATCCCTCCTATTTTTTCCCTTTTTTTTTTTACGAAAACTTGCATAATTTATCCCTGAATCTACTAAATTGTTATAAATAGTCATACTTGAAAAGCGCCTCCCTTATTTGGAAAACGCATGAAATTCCTAGTCCACAACAAGCAACCACATGCCTACTCTTAAAACCTGTGATTCTCTTTTCATGCCTAAGCTCTGAATATTTGAGGCAAGCTTTTTGGTTAAAAAAAAATAATTTTAGTCTATGAAACAGGTATCTATCGACCTCATGCGCGTTAAGACGGTAATTCAGAATCAGGAAGGCTGCTTTCACGGTTTGCTTCATACACTTACGTATCGTTACTTCAATAGCTCGTGCACTTAATCAGCTCGTCACACGAGGATATTCCAATGCTCATTTTATACTATATGTATCGAAAAGTAGAAACACATGTCCCTATCATCACAGAAACATAAGTGTCTAGAGCAAGTCTCTCTAAAGTTCAGTACGTGCCCCTTACTAGTAGTATTTTCCTTTGGGCCTCTTGGAAACCAAACTGTGATGCAGTTGTGATTTAGACAACACCCAAAAGCATAAAAATAGTTTAAAACTGGATTTTTAATCAATCCCCTGATTGGTGCCTTACAGAACTGGGCTTTACTCCCGCGAGAGAGACCTATTTCTATTTATTCCCTCTTTTGTCCTTGCTCTTTCTTTTTTTTTTTTTTTTTCTTTTTGTGTGTGTGTGTGTCTTTCATTCTCTGCTAGGGTTAGCAATGGTTTGACTGAAAAGATCATATTCTGATCTTCCTCGCGGTCAAATCCAGACATAACAAATTTCAAGCTGTAAAATTCTTTGGCTACTGTGCTATTAATCCCGAAGAAAAAAATATCAGTGTCCCAAAGAAGGGAGAAGTATTAAGGGGGGAAGGGTCTGAAGCCAATTGTTTGGCTGGGCTCCTTTGGTCTTTGGGTTTGGTTTTTTCTTTCTTTTTTCTTTTTTTTTTTTTTGAAAATTAAAGATTTTATTTTTGAAAATGTGTAAAAATTTTACATTAAAATGGTACAATAATACTTGCCAGTAATTTTTAACAATATTCCTCGTAAAGAATACGCATAAAGTACAAAATAAAAAACTCCGTAAGTCTATTATAATACAAAACACAGGTTAAAATAAGAAATGATAATCTTGACTTTCTTCTGTGTAAACATGTTAATCTTTTCTCTTCTTTTATAAAAGTACATGAGACAAGTGTACTAAAATGAAAAAGTATTGCTTTGCTGTCCTCCCTCAAGCCTTTTTTTTTTTTTTCCTGTACATTACTGTTTTCAAGCTCCTAGACCTGAGAATCTCTGAACTTTAACGGTTTAGAGACTTTATTTATCACCATTTTTTTTTTTTCTGTTTAAGGAGTAAGGAGTAACTTTCCAATAGCATGACCGCCTGCCCGTGCAGCATCTAGACCTGGCTTTGCAGAAATACGGGTCCCGGGTGTCCCGCCAGTCGCGGCGGAATCCCCCCGAGCAACACCGCGCGATCCCCACGCAAAGCCCACAGCCGTCCGCCAGGCATCCGAGCAGCGGAGAAAGGAGATACCCCAGATCCTACCTTCGGAAAGACTCCCAAAACCCTTAACAGTTAGAGATCCGGGCCGCGAAGCCGGGGGCGGCGGGCAGGGCGGCGGCGGGAGGCAGGCCGCCCCCGGCGCTCCCCAGCGAGCG